TGAGGGAACAACGATTATGTACATTGTGTACCTTAACAAGTTGAAATCTTAGTGACCAAAACTGAAGTTTAACAGGAAAAAATGGACACAAAACCACTACATTAAAGAGTTTAGGCTATGTCCTGGGGGCATAAATAGCCTGGTTGTTCCCACCAACAAAACTATATGACATGTCATCAATATGAATGTCCACTCCATTCATTTTGTTCTACATGTCTGAAATGGTTATAAAGAAAAAGTTAGGCCATATTTGGTCTTAATAACTCATGCATCAATCAGTTCTGAAATTAACAGTTTTACAACAATACAACTAAAGACAAAATGTAAAGCATATACTTAGAAGATTTTAAAATACAATACTTTTTTACTAATAGAAGTTTTAAGACATGTAGATCATGATGAAAGAGAAAGATCACCCATTAGAATAACTGAACACATGGATGAAAAGGTCCCAGTTGTATTGACAGAAAATAGTTAGGTTTTTGCGAACACTTGATGAATCCACTTTAACAAATGATTTTACATATTTTTCATTTACAGACCTTTAACAAATGTAGATCAAGTTGAATGGACTGGATTTATCCACTTTTATTTCAACACACTTTTCGCTTGTCTAATATGTGTGTGCAAGCATCCATATATTTCAACTTTAATCTTTCTCCTTTTTCCTTCAGAATAGGAAGTGTAATGGCCCCTCTAACTAAAAGCACATAAGATGGATGAATCAACACAACTCTTTTTTACATTAGAATAAGAAATGGCATGCCTTCTCCAAATAAAAGCAAATGTGATGAATAAAGCAACACAATAGATGCGGCATTTATTTTCTTCATAATATTCAATCTAGTTTGGGGATCAGTTTTGATAGTTAAAAAAAATCACAATAGATGTTATGTTAAATCTTATTTTGAACCAGAACGAGGGAAAGAACAAATGATCGGATTGTGCATCTTAAAAAAGGCTAAGTAAGAAGTCAAGGCCAATGGCAGTGTTAAACATACCTAGGTCTCGGGCTACGACTCCTTGTCCTCTTTTTCTTGGTGAAATCTTCCACAACTCTTCCTTTATGGCTACAAAAAGTTATAGGAAGATAATCAATTATTCAACATTACATAGAAAAGGGGAAATTAGGAAGAATCCATTGGACTGTTAGGCTAAATAAGAGGTTACCTTTTTGCCTCTACAACAATGGCTCCCAATCAAGATTGTGGATAAGAAAATAAAAGATAGAAGTAATAGTTAATTGGCTTAAGGAGCTTTTTTGCCGTATAAAACACCTGTGTTTGAACCTTATCTAGTACATTTAGCTAGCTTATACTTTTTGAACTTATACTATAATTTCCAAAATTGTAGTTTGAACTTCAGATTTGTGATTGTGCTTTTAATTAAAAAGTCTGTTTTTTTGTTTAAAAAAGAAAGTTTTATCCACGTAGGCATGATAATACATGCATAGTACTGAAATTACCCAAAAAAATAAGCTCCATTTAGAGCATGTTTGGGAACTATGCTTATAATCCACAATTATAAGCCAAGTGGATAACAATCCAAATTGTTTGGTAAATTTAGTGGATTATAATCAATTTCCAATAGTTGAGTGTTCGGCAAATGAGTGGCTTATAATCCATCCTAGTTGTCAAAATGACCAAGAAGGGTATGGATAGAGATATAGGGGTTGCAATTTTTTAAAAGATAAGGGGTAAACTAGTCTTTAACTCAGTCAAACTTTGGGCTTACAAGCCACCAAAAAAATAAGCTGTTACATAACATTTTTTGACTTATAAAGCAAAATAATTGCCAAACATGTCTTAGTGTCTTATACCCCACTTTGACCAATTGCCGCACATGCTCTTACTATGATGTAAAATAGCAATAGCATCAACCTCGTACTTCATATCTGTAGCACTCGAAGCGGCTACCATGAACCCATATAATGAATCAAGTGTAACATTGATAACACTGGCTAGACCCCTTTTAGTTTTTACAATTCTAAGGAGACCCTCAGAGATAATTACTTATGTATATGATATAATGCACTACCGGGTCATAACATAACCATGGACACTTTTTTAACTATAGGAACTATAATAGACATTTATAAAACACCTTTGTAAATAATAGTCCCCATTTTTCTCCCAAAGACATACCCCAATTTTGGTAGAAAGCAGTTCATATCATGTTGTCTTGGTCTCTCATTGAAGTCAAATCCATGCCATATATTGTAGCACGTTATAAAAACCACTTTAAGATGAAAAATTGTAACGAAACAACAACCAGAATAAACACTAACAGACGCTACACTAACAAAAACCAGAAACATTTGATGCTGACACCAGCCGCACCAAGCAAAATGAAATCTCATAACTTACATCCGCTCAGCATTAGGCCCATATTTAGCAAACTGCACCATGATTTCTCGACCATCAACATTCCTCCCTGTAAACAAAACCCAATTCATAATCACAGTAGATTAGGAAATAAACATCATTAAACT